AATTCAAGTTAGTAAGGGGCAGGAACTATTATCTCTATTTTACAGACCCTGAGCCTAAGGCGTAAGAACCAAGGGTCAGCTAACTTGTATGAGGTCAATAGGGAATCAATAGAGTTGCTTGGAATAGAAACTCTTCTCGTTCTTTGTAATATACTATTTTTTCTCATTTTACACACACACACATACACACCCATACCCATGCTTGGGTTTCCTCAGCATATACTATTTACCTTACCTTTCTAATTTTATTTTTAATTTCATTTTTCTCTTAATTCTATTTAGTTTACTTATTGTCTCTGATTTCTTACCCTCTGTCTTTGCCTCCCCAATCACTTTATGTTATGAGGCACCCTTTTATGCTTTCATCTTCAAATATTTGCTTTAAAGCAATTTTTTCAATACCACAAAGACAAAAATATAAATAAATATTTTAAGCTATTAACATAAATCTTTTTCTTTTTAACTATGACCCTACTTCTCTGTCACATTTTTTAGAATTAGTAGTCTAACTGTACTTTCTCTATTTCTCCATATATTTACATGCTTGTTTTTTACTTCCTTTGGTCTAATCTAGAATTATTCTTCAGAGTTCAGAGATTTCATAGCCATAATAAACTTCTAATGGATGAATCCCATGGGCATGTGGTAACGGGCATCCTTTTGCATGTCTCTGACGCTTTTGAGCATGTAAGATTTTCCTCCTTTCCAGAGATGATTGGCTTCCTTGGCTTCTGAATGTCAAAAGTGACCTGGTTTTCTTCCCAAACCTCATTTTTATTACTTGCTGCTGGCCCCCAACTACGGAATCTATGATCAGCCCTCCGATATATATTATCTGTCAAACTTCATTTAGAGGTCTCAATTCACAAATCTCTCCTTTGCAATGCCTACCCTAAGTTTCTAAGAAGATTTCACATCATCTTTTTGTACTCCTTTTTATTGAAAACTTGATCATATTATATTTTGTCTGTTTTTATATAGCTATAAGGTTTAATTTCTTAAATGTATAGAAGCATTGTTGGAAAATACTTGAAACCCATAATGTATACAAAACAAAAGGAGGTATAGTTAATTAACGACTGAATCCAATCACCCACACAGGTCTTGCAGCCCTTTCTCATTACTGTGCCTCCATAGTTCACCACTTTTTTTAGCATACTCCTTTGCCTTCAGCAGTTCTTCCAACTCCTCGTTTTGGTAAAGAATTCTCAGATGATCTCCTCAATTTCACCTTTTTAATTAGGTCATTCATTTGCCTGAGTAAAATCTTTTATTTCTTCTTGCACCTATTTATAATTCTTACTCCCATCCCACTCAGAATTTTTGGAAAATTTTCTTAAAGACCTGTTTCTTTCATAACTCTTTCAATTTTTGAGTACATCTTCACTTCACAGTTTCAAAGAGCTAGAAGGTTGATGCTCTTCTTCAAGATCTTCTGCTTTTTTCTCTTTTAGAAAGACCAGTTTGCTTGGATAGGACACGAAATCATTTATTACCATAGACAGAAAAATACAGAGTTTCAGATACCTCAGGTCACTAGATGTCTTGATGTCCATACTTTTGCATCTTGAGGCGGAGCCACAGTTCTATAGACTCTTCAGGGAAACTGTGTGGACACTTTGGGGATCAGCTAGTTTTCTGGGTCAGTTTAGATTTTTAACCTCTTTTCATATGTTCTTTCAATTGTAGGGTTTCTCCTTCCTCCATTTGTCTTTTCATCATCAGGGAGATCTTACAAACCACTGCTATACAGTCCCACAATGGACACTGATAGAATGTGTGACTGGTACTGGCATTATATTTTTGCACAACTGTCTGGCTCATTTGAAGGCACATCTAGGTTTAAGAATGACCACTTACATCACTCTAATTCACAATGTCTGTGATTAACAAACTGGTAGTTACATGGATAATGCAATTCATTCTCTTTTCAGGCAATCAACACATTTCATTTCTGGGTTAGGCAAGATTTCTGGAATATGTAAATATGATGAGTTCTATGTCATAACTTTTTCTGTAAAACCTGTCGTCTAAATAGACCTAACCTGATGATGAAGGATGATGAAATACTTGACTGTCTAGCTATCATCTATCTATCTAAATTTACATGTCAGGTTTACTATTGAAATGAAAGCTTACTTCTTGCGGAACTGATGATTTAAGATTCTCCACTAATTTGGTTCATAATGCCAACTTGAAATCTTTTCCACAAGAATTTTATTTATTAAAAATTATCAAAATAGAGTTTAACAGATAATAATACAATGCTGATATTGGCAGTAGAATTCTAATGGGATAATTTAAAAGCCAATAAAAATGGTTGATGGGGTAGTTAATGATCCATTGTGTGATACTGTTTACTTTAAATTTTTATTGAGAATTATTTTTTTCTTTATTCACATATTACTTTAAATAAAAACATTTTGTACAAAAAGGAAACATTCATGAATCTAAGTATTTTTAGTATATATGCTAATCTCAGTATTTTAAAATTAAAATGTTCTTCCATCATTAAATTTAATATTTAACAAAATATTTCATGGAGATTAAAGTATTTACAGTCAAAATGAGGTAGGATATTAAAAAAATAAAGTGCACAGAGAGATTCATTGTAGTTATTATATAATGCATTATAGAAAAACTTGTTTTGGACATTTGTCATTGCAAGCATAGCCTATCGCCCGACTCTATGCTGTCCTGTCATTGCTTTTGGTGGAACCAGCATTTAAGCACCCAAGCATCACACTCTTTTCTATTTTTATACCAAAATGAAATATCATTTCTGTTTCTTATTTTCCTTTCATCAGTTTAAAAGTACAAATTATGTATTTCCTTATGAAGTTTGATATTCCTTGTTAGTGAAGACTTATTCTAAAAGATTTGAGACTCATTAAAATAGAACTTGACCCTATTCCTCCCTCTCTCTCTCTATACTTTAGATATACATATAGCTTTTATACATATAGCTTTATATATGTATAAAACTTTACATGTATAAAACTATGTATATATATATATAACATGCTGGGATCAATGAGTTATACATACGTAAGTCATTGCTAAGTATGGAAGATACAGTGTGTCTCCATGAGCCTTGGGTGCTTTCCTAAATTCAGCCTTGTCATCCAGATAGCATTGGTCAGTAGTCTATACTTTGGTGAGTATCTTCTGTGTATAGAACAATATAGTTTTGGACACTGTCAGTGGTCTCATTTCAAAGGTGAAGTTGAAGACATAAAATGTATCAGAGATAGTTTATAGTCAACTGAGGGTAACAAATTAAAAAAAGAGAAAATATGAACACATAAGATAATGCATCATAAATATAAAGTGATTTCTGTAGTGACTTAGATGTAAGGTAAAATAGCAAAATTGCACAACTGTGAGTAAATATAAGAACTATTAATAAAATAAGGATAATGTTTTTAAAATATAGTGTATTGCAGTAAATTTTGGCCCATGATGTGTATGCTTTTTGTTCTAGAAATATTTTGTAATTGTTTTAAAAAACTGCAGTCCCAACTCAGTGAAACATGTGAGTTAAATGTTTTCTCTTTACAATAACATTCAGTAGTTCTAAAAGTTTGATTTTGACCTAGAATGAAAAAGAAGATTTTATAATGACTGTATACTACAAATAACTTGAGGTACTGGGCTACAAATAATAATGGACAATTTTCCTGGCCAATCTTCTATCTGAAACAAAATAAAGGGATTTGTGGAAATACATGTGTGTCTTTAGCAAAGCCAGTTTATAAATTTGGAGAAAATATCACAATTCTTCTTAGCCTTCCCTTTTATAATATATCATCTGTCTATAATCTTTAACCTTTAAAAAAATCCTACTGGTCCCCATATCAATTAGTGATTTTTACCATTAGCATTCAAGTTATAAGAGTACAAAAAATGTTCTTTACCTTTCCTACTATTTTCTGGCAGCTTTAGTGTTATACTTTATAATGAAATGAAACAATGTGAGTTATATGTTTATAAATCTATACATGTATGTCATTTTCAAATCATAGTAGAGCTTAATGGACCCAACAATTGCATGAATAAGACAGCTATTATGGAATCTTTTTCATATCGTTTTTTTCTAAAATGTTATGTATGTAACACCCTTGATGTGTGGCATTAGTTTGTTTCCTTAATGAGACTATTTTTTGTTTTATTTTATAGTTACAATAATGCATAAATTCCATGCATAGTAAACTTTCAGTCCAGCCAACATCAGTATCATAGTAAATTGTGGGATTCAAATTAGATAAAGATTTGCAACACTTTTTAAATTCATTCTAAAAGCTGTACATGATATTATTTTTTTAGAACAAATTATAGTCATAAAACTCACATTAATTAAACTTTTTTAGTTATTCTCCATTCCCTGGTTAAGAAAATGTTTATCTATTATTGCAATACTACCCTTAAAATTTCAAGGTCGACAGATAATAATTTTTAATATGAATGAAGTAGGAAATGTATTCTTATTTCTTAGCACTGCATCTAAATTCCTATTTATCAGCTGCACTGTTAATCATTTAAGTTAACTGCCAGAACACTCATTTTTTAACCATTGTATCACAAGGAAAATTATTTAAAAATTAGTTCTTTTTACAATGAATTTATTCAATAATTCTTGCTTTCCTGAGTCACTAACCCATGTTTTTATAGAATGTATTTGTGAAAAGCATATTTGAAGTGAAGACTACAGAACAAAGATTGAGTATGTGGAACTAACATAGATTTAGATGTGTTTTAGTGAAATTGCTGTTTCCTGTCTTTGTTTCAGAAAAGTAATTTTGAGCTTTTGCATAATAAAATCTAAGTTCTAAGCATTGCCTCAGATAACAGAGTTAACTAAATAGATTTCAACATATTATATTAACCATTTTCTATTGAATTAGTTGTCAGTAGACCTTAATGTGTGTAATTTATGTATATTTAATAAGATCATGTACAATCTTATATCTTAGTGACATTCAGAATCTTTTCTTTTACAGCCATTTCGTAGAGTGACGTTTTCTGTTGTGAGTCAGCCTCAGGACCCACATCAGGGGTCACTGCAGAGTTGCTATGACAGCGGGCTGGAGGAGTCAGAAACACCAAGCAGTAAGAGTTCATCAGGGCCAAGACTGGGTGCCCTTCCACTCCCAGAGGACAACTATGAAAGGACCACGCCGGATGGCAGTGTTGGTGAGGCAGAGCATATGGAAAATGGTAGGGGCAAACACAACATCCACACACATAATCACGCTAGTGAGCCATAATAAGTAGACTCGTGAAGGTCAGTCTAAACCCACAATAAAATAGCTGACACTAAAACTACTCTATTTGAAATAATAAATATTTCCTAACGTACAAAAATGCCAAATAAAGAAACATAATTCTATAGATAAAACTCACCATTGTAAACAGCCTGTCAGAAATAAACACATTTACAAATAAGAGTAATAACTGTTACGAAAAAAAAAACTAAATTAGTGCATAATACTGAAATGATAGCAGTTTGAGAAAGGTCTTGTGTTATTGTTTTCTTCTATTCATTTTTGTCATGCAACTATTTCTTCAATTGCAATTATCCAGTCTTAGTGAGAGGAAATGACAGTAAACAAACTTTGCTCTCCTCTTTTCCTAGGTATTTAGAATAGCTTTTTCAAACCCTTCCTTTCAAGTGGTAGCTGAACTGAAGTCAAGAAGGAGAACAGTATTATCTTGTTCTCAAAAGTATGTTGTAAATGCTATGAGAATTTCCCTCTCACTTAAGTATAAGGTTTTATTCATTTGTGTGCAAGGAAACAGGAGGAAATTCTCACATTACTTTATATTCTTATCCTGTTAGGATACGAGTTTCATAATTACCACAAAAATTGGCCTTCTGTACATTTTTCTTTACATTATCAAATTAAGATTGCAAATAGTACTTATACAACTTATTCATCTGTTTATGTTCCCAAAGACAATTAGATGATTTTTTTTTTGGATTTTAGGTAATAAGCAAATGTCTGAGGAATGGGTTTTTGTCTAATAATGGAATGGTGAATTTCTTACCAAGTTTATTATTATTTCAATACAAAAAGAGATTATGTGTAGGGAAAGTAAGGGGAATCACACACATTTTAGCTCATGAAAATTTGAAATTAATTTGTTTCTCATCATTCCATCCCCCAAGTGAAATAAGACAGTCTAACTTTTTGTTATGTATCAGTTTCTCTGGTGGTGATATGTAAATAAAGCATAGTAATGCAAGATAAACTTACTTTTTTCTTCAAGTTTACCTATTAATAATAAAATTCAACATTAGAGAATAATATATAAGTGACCCCAAGTGAAATTATTGCTAATCTGAACAGTGTTAAATAATTATTTTTCCACATTATCTGGGTGATAAGATATGAGGGCCTGATGATTGACAATCCCTCTTGATTAATTATGTAGAGTTTAAGTGGCATTTTGCCTTATGGCTATAAAGGCATGCTTATCTGTGTGTATGGTGGTGTGTGCTTATGTGGATGGGAGTTTGGTACGGTGTTTAAGAATTAACTTTAGTATTTTTTAAATGAGTATAAAATATTTGATATGAATTGCAATGCTTATGAATATATATATATCTCTAAGGCAAATATGTTTGAAAAGCTTTGTACAAAATTAAAAAAATAAATTTAAAATACTGCCATAATATTTTATATATGTACACACACACACACTTAGGAAGGCACACACACACCTAGGAAGGCAGGCTATTAATTTAAGGGTATTACTATATCTGTGATTGCATTTTGATAATACTATAGAATTTTATTTGTGTTATTAAAAGTGCTTGTCTCAACATAATGAATAATTATTTTTGATGTTAGCTACATTAAAACAAACTTTTTTATTATTGGCATTATAACCATATTTTATTTATTTTTTTTTTAGTTTAAGGTGATTCAGTGCCTTTAAAATAATAAAGAAATGATGAACAATAAAGATAATTATATATGACAAACACACATTGGTTACTTTTAGGAAACATACATGTCATGGAACACTTAACAGTTGAGCTTGATAGGAGACCAGAAAGTTTATTAAGAAACATTTACCAAAAAAGGCTCTTAGTTATTTTTTATCAACATGTTTTTAGTCTTGGCAGCACTAAGGACCATCATAATATGACTGATTTTTCCTGAGTTATATGTGACTGACACTTGAAATTCAGAGTGTACATAACAATTTGTCATCTGCTAGCAGTGATTCATGTTAGCCCTAATCTATAGGTAATGACGGAAGGAGATGTGATTCACTTTGGGTGATCCAAATGTAGCAGCTGACATTTGAATGAGTTTGGCTGAGTCCAAGTTTTCAGACTTCCATCTAGCTGTAAAACACAATCGTATTGCTTGAATTCTGGTAATTTCATTTTCAATATTAATGGGTCATTCTGACATAAATAGAATTGGAATTGAAACCTGTCAGGTATTCATTTGTCACATTTAATTGGAATCCAGGTAATCGGCAGTGTTTTGCTTGGTTAGGTTTTAATCAGGATTTGTATTGGATTTTCCATGAAAATACCTTTTTGGATGCTGTCCTAATATGTAATTATTATTACCTCCAATATTTTTCTTGAATTTTAACCTATGTGAAAAAGTATAGTTAAAATTATTTAGGGGGTTAACTTTAATTGTAAAATTTATAAGATGATTTTCAGTGCAATAGTATACCACATTCTAACATTCTAATGTCATAATGAAAACTGGATATAAGGTGGGACAGCTGATGACAAAAATAAGTTTTCACAGATGCTATAGTAAGCACACAACTGAACACAGGAAAATTTAAGTAGATAAGCAGTGAAATGCACATCTTTTACAACGCCTTTGTCTGGTTTCTATACGTTAGCATGATAAACCAAATTTCATTAAGAGGGCCTGTGGTTTACTTCTTTGTATAAAAAGCTTTAGTTCTAGTCCAGCCTGGTTAGTGACCGATGACAAATGAAATTTTATTCTTTTATAGCTTAAGAAAAAGAATACACTATAAGACTCTGAATAAACACTTTCTCGAAACCTGGGTCTAATAATTAAAATGGTTCCCACCATTTTGATAAATCCAAATCTGGGGTACTCACATCCCATGGGTTCTGGAAAGAAATAATGTAAATTATACCTTTTAAAAATATTTTAAGAAAGCCCTTATGAATTACACATTTGTTCATGAACAAAATCACTAATATATTTTTCTTCCCCTTTAATTGATTATTATCAATTTATGACTTTCAAATCGATCCTTTGATAATGTTGGGGAAATTGGTTATCTATTATTTTATTAAAATACATTTAGTGGAATTAAATATTTTAAAGTGTGGAATTCATGGTGGATAGTTGAGTAATGATAAAATATTTGATAATGAAATATTAAATAATTAAAACCTACAACAATGAACTGATAATTCAAGTGAAAACCAAATATTAGATTTACAAATACCATCACACTAAAGGAAACCCTTGACTATACAAAAGCTTGCCCTTCTCTTAAATATGCAGGGGTCTTCATACTTCCCTTTGGAGTGGTTTTTAACAATTTCTTCAGGTCTATTGTATTAATTTACTTTAGTCCCAGTCTTCATGCCACAGCCTATTTAGACTTGCCCAAGTCCTCCAACCCTTGGAATGATAGTTGCAAGGCTAGCTTGTCTTTCCTATGTATTCCTTGAGAAGATGTAGTGGATAATAACTCAGATATAAAAATATGCCACTTGACCTCTCATTCCAGTTTTGCCATTAAGATTGGGTAGGCCATTTACTCCATCTGGGTCTGCTTCTGATCATCTGTAATGCAATTAACTAAATTAACTTTAAAATCTTCCCGCAATTCTCTCCTCACATCCATTTATTCTTATACATTTCTCTCCAGAACATAAAGAGACCTTGGGTCTCTCAGTGAGATGTTGAGCAAATTCGATAATGTGTTGATGTGGGCAAGGCAGAAATAATTCTGGGGCTTTCCTTGCAACCCACATACACATGTGCATTCTAATAGTAGATAATGAACGTATTACAGAAATCAAAGAAGTGGACTGATGTCAATGGTGCGATCGCTAGCCAAGTGGGCAGCAGGGCAGGCACCGCAGCACATCAGTGCAAGAGACAGTTTTGGAGCTTGCCTTAAATCACAATATACAAGAGCCATCTGTAGATCCCATCTAGCCCTGGGTGTCATGCCCTTCAAAAATATAAATTATGATTAAGTGATCTCACAGCCAAATAAGCACATTTGCTTTCTCACTTGACAGTGTAAGCTTTGGTCAGAGAAAGACTGAATGAAAGGTAGAAAGCAGTATGTATTTTTCTCCAGGTAAACTTATAAGTAGTATAACATAAAAATAAATTAAAACAGGAAAATAGCAATGGATCCATAAAGCAGGTTTTAAAAAGTTAAATGAAGTCAGGAATTCGGCCACACTAAATGGCTAAATAATGTTTATGTCTTTTGATTTTCTCAGATATTTAAGATAGAATGTTGATTTGTATACATTAATATTTTTTAATTTCCCACTTCCAAACTTTATTTTTTTTCAGACTTACATAAGCTACACTTACTTGTTGTTCTATTAATTTTCATTCTATATACTTTAACTAGTGTTTAGATGCCACTGTCTTTGAAGGTTAAAACATGGTACAGTCCATCACAAGCCCATTTGGTACCTGCCATGGACTTTACTCATTGCTTTCAGAAATAAATGAGAATCTGTGTGAAATATTATTTGGGAATGAAATGCCATTTTTATATGACCCAAGATAATGAGAACATAGACTAGACTCGTGTATTTTTGTGAGATAAAGGACCTCCTCTTCCTCTACTTTCCTTCCACCTGCCCAGTTTTCAGCAGTCATATGTAAGGCACAATCATCTCGTCGCTGTGGGCTTGTGCTGTGTTCATTTAGACTGAATTGTGTAGCACGGATGCCTCTTCTGTCCTTCCAAAGATGCTCATCACTTGTTAACGTCATAAGCATAATACCTCAAAACAAATGCTCTGCAAAATTTTTCTGTAGGAGAGACTAATGCTTCTTGCAAAGGATTTATTTTCATGGCTCTGCATCTTACTGTGTCACTCTAGTTGCCAGTGTCTGACTGAAGCTGCCTCCTCTGCCGTTCCATCCCTCTGTGAAATGGCTCCCTATCTCCCGTGTCCCAAGAAGTCCACATGCCCTCACCTTGGGAGATCCCTGATT